GGATGTACACTGGTACAGATAGGAACTGGAAGTGCAGGGAATCCAGGGCGGATGATCCCTTTGGGACCGGTGGTGTGGGTGGTTATACTGTCAAGACAGAGGGAGGGTGGGTTGGAAAGGTGGAACCTGTTACAAGGATCTACATGTGACCTCCTCCCTGGGGGACGGACAACAGAAAAGTGGGTGAAAGGAGACGTCGGACTGGTCAAGATATGATAAAATACTAATTTATAAATTATCAAGGGCTCATGAGAGAGGGGCAGGCGGGGAGGGAGGGGAAAATGAGGAGCTGATGCCAGGGGCTTAGGTGGAGGGCAAATGTTTTGAGGATGAGGGCAATGAATGTACAAATGTGCTTTACACAATTGATGAGTGTTTGGATTGTGATGAGTTGTATGAGCCCCTAATAAAACGATTAAAACAAGATGTAAGATGAACAAGGGTCCATGGGGAAGCAGGGAGGGAGGGGAAAAGAATGAGAAGCTGATGCTAAGGGCTCAAGTAGAAAGCAAATGTTTTGAGAATGATGATGGCAACAAATGTACGGATATACTTGACACAATAGATGGGTAGTGATGGGAGTTGTGCAAGCCCCCATTAAAATGATTAAATGATTAAAAAAGAAAAAAAAAGATAACCTCAAGAAATCTTAGAGAACATCTCTGCTTTATAGAGTGCCATGAGTTGGAAGCACGTCTTTGTCAGTGGGTTCTGTGTTTTAAACCCTTACAAAGTTAGCCCTGGCCTTTGACTCTGCCTCTGTATGTCTGGGGTGGAAAGATGAATCCTCACCAGGACAAACTAGTTCAAAATCCTGTGTTAATCATCTCCGATCTGTAAGTGTCTGGCTACCATTTGCTACGTCATTTTCTATTGCTGGATTGTGCCCTGGTGGCCCTGTCAGGTAATCATTAGCCTTCTAACCTCAAGTCTGCAGGTTCAAACCCAGCGGCCACTCCTCAGGGGCAAGATAAGGCTTTTTGCTCCTGTAAAGGATTATTGTTTTGGAAACCCTGTATTGGTTCACTAAGATTGCAGTGAGGTTTTTATTTGGTTTGTGAATGTTTACTTATGCCCTCTCCGTTTTGGGCATTTGAATTTCTAATGGTTTTTCATTTACTTAGCTATGCTAAGAACATCTTTAAAGATACAGTTTTGTGTGTCTTCTTAATTTTTTTCCCAAGAATAAATCCTAGATATGGGATTGGCAAGTAATAGGTCTTTATACTTACTGCCCAAAAATGCCAAACAAAATTTAGTATCAATTAATGTTCCCATTGCCTTCATTTAGTTTTGTTGGCTTTACAAAAGAGAAATGTATTTTCTGACACTTTAGGCAGTCAATGGGTTGTATTCAGGATGCTGGCTCTGGGGGAAGGTCTGCCCTCCTCTCTCCAGCTTCCATTTCTTGGATCCTTGGCAACAGGCCCGGTGCCTTTCTGGCCTCTGCTGTTTGCTTCCTTGGTTAATTGGCTCTGCACCCATCATCCCCTGAAACGTTTTGTCGCATCTTAGGTGAAGATTTAGACAATTCACTCAACAAGTAGTCACTCTTAACATTTAATAAGCAAAACTATATCTTATCCTCGCTTTACTTTGTATTTTTGTGGATTATTAGTGAGGCTGGTGAGTTTAATGGCCATTTATGCTTTCTAATATGATACATTGTTGCTTCATCTACTTTGCTGATTTTTATTTTTTATTTTATAGAGCCTTCCAGAATATTCTGTTTCGTCCTTTGTCACATGTGCAGAAAATGTACCTCCCATCTTATGAATTATGTATTTAACAGAAAAAACATTGTATCCTGTGAATGATGAGAAGTGGTGGTGTCTTTTGTTTGTCCTCATGATTTTTGCCTTTGGTGTTAATGGACCTTTTCCCCCCTCCCCACCTCCCCTCTATGATTTCAGATGTAGCCCTGGCAGCCGTTCTTGTCCCTGTGCTGGTCATGGTGCTCACCACGCTTATTCTCCTTTTAGTGTGTGCTTGGCACTGGAGAAACAGGTGGGTGCAGAACTCGTTCTCCTAATTGCTCGACGGTATGTTCAGGAGCCCCTGAATAGAAACGGAATGCAGCCAGTGAGCTAACATTCCCTCTTCCGAGATGGAGCGTTCAAGAAATCACGGAAATGAAAGTGACATACATTTTCTGCTTCACTCCTCTCAAAAACAAGTTCACGCCATTGGAGAACCGACCGTGGTGTGCTTCATTGTGCCCCGTTGTTTGCTCGGTACCGGTAGGTACAGATACTTAGTCATGGCAACTTTTGGCACCTAACAGGGCTTTCTTTTTTTGACTGATAGAAGAAGACACACTTCCTATCTGTCACCAAAGTGTTCTTCCTTTCACAGGCTAGATGGACTCCCGATAAAGAACTGTGACATGGTGTGATGAGCTCTGTACGAAGGAGACAAAGATCTAAGAGCCAGGGAGTTCTCTAAAATCTTTTCTTCAGAAGATCCAGGTTGATTTGAGGTTCTGTCCCATGTACTTGGATGAGTGGGGCTGGGGGTGTCATGAATGCAGATTACAGAGGACAGCCAGGCGTGCTGGAGAAAGAGGATGACTTCATTTGTTCAGCCTCTCAACCAGTATTCGAGCATCTACCCCAGCTGTAACAATCGGCTCAAACACCCACAATTGTGAGGATGTCACAGGACCAAGGGACTTTTTGTTAGCTTGCTTGTTCTCGTTTCCCGGTACAGGCTAGTCGTGAGTTTGAGCCAGTTGAGTGCTGTCTCTTGGGCTGGGGCATCTGTAATTGAACCTCAAAGCTTACAGGATACAAAACAGAACACTCTGCGTTGTGGTACCCACCACGGAATACATGCCATGGGGGGTGCATGGGGGCCTTGTCTAGATTCGTGGTGCTGAGACGGGCCCTGGCAGCTGATCAAAGACCCAAGCAGCAGAAAGAAGGGGAAATGCTTAGGGAAGTCCCATAGAGGGAAGTGCAGTAAAGCCAATTTTGGGTGAAATCGAATCGCTAATTTTTAGGCATGATTCAAATTTTGCTGTGCATGTTTTTACTCGTTTAAGCCTCAGATCACTAACTGGCAGAGTGGAGGCCTGGATTTCATATACCAAAATCATAGGAAAGCAAATGACGAAGATTCCAGAGGGCTACCCATCATGACAAAGTACAATGTATAAATCCCAATACGTGAAACAAAAAAAACAAACAGAAACCTATTAAAATCTAGATCAAAACCAAAGTGTTTTAGAGGGTAGATCAGTGGACATTGGTTTTTTTAAAAAATCAGTTTATTGGGGGCTCATGCAGTTTATCACAATACATCCGTCCATCCATTGTGTCAAGTACATTTGTACGTTTGGTGCCATTATCATTCTCAAAATATTTTTTTTGTACTTGGGCCCTTGGTATCAGCTCCTTATTTTTTCCACTCCCTCCCCACCCCCTCACTCACGAACCCTTGATAATTTATAAATAGTTATTATTTTGTCATCTCTTATACTGTCCGACATCTCCCTGCACCCACTTTTCTGTTGTCCGTCCCCCAGGGAGGAGGTTATATGTAGATCCTTGTAATTGGTTCCCCCTTTCCAACCCACCCTCTCTCTGCCCTCCCAGTATCACCATTCACCCCACTGATCCTGAAGGGATCATCTGTCCTGGATTCCCTGTGTTTCCAGTTCCTATCTGTACCAGTGTACATCCTCTGGTCTAGCCAGACTTGCAAGGTAGAATCCGGATCATGATAGTGGAGGGGTGGGGTGGGAGGTGGGAGAATGGGGAGGAGGAAGCATTTAGGAACTAGAGGGAAGTTGTATGTTTCATCATTGATACATCACACCCTGACTGGCTGTCTCCTCCCCGAGACCCTTCTGTAAGGGAATGTCCAGTGGCCTACTAATGGGCTTTGGGTCTCCATTCCGCACTACCCCCCCTCATTCACAATGATATGATTTTTTGTTCTGATGATGCCTGATACCTGATCCCTTCGACACCTCGTGATGGCACAGGCTGTCTCTTTTCATTCCATCACCCCTTTCCAGTGGGTCAAGTTATTTTCTCAAGAGAGAGTTGTTTGATATTTATCAAGGGTGCAGAGTTAATGAACTTCAGCAGTAGGGACTTGGGAGGCAGATGACTTAGAGGCGTCTCATGGGTAATTCCTGGGTGGTCACACCAGTTTCTTCTCATTTGGAGTCATGGTACATCAACAGATGAAGAGCCTGAACGCTTTACTCATCTCCACCATGAAGGAGCTCTGGTGGGGCCTTTGGGTAAAGCCTTGGACTGCAAACTGCAAGGTCAGTGCTTCCAACCCCCCAGCACTTAGGACTCCAAGGACAAAGCTCAGAAGGGTGACGTGAGGAGGAAGCAGACGGGCCGAGGAAACGCAGGGGATGTGTGACCGTACGTGGAGGGAATTATGGTGAAGGCGATGAAGCAGAATGTTTGAATTGCAAAACGTAAAACTGCTGCTCTGCTCTCTAAGTACACCCAGTTCACAATGAAAAGTTTTTTAAAAAACTGGTGCTCTCAAATTTGTGGTGTCCAGGTGGACTAGAGAAACATATCCAAGGAGCCTTGTGTATAAGAAAGAGCTTTATATAAAGGAGCAATTGTGTATTGAGAAAACATCCCAGTCCTTTCCAGATCAAGTCCATAAGTCCGATTTTAGCCCATATGCCCAATACCAGTCCATAAATTCCTCTTCAGACTCACGCAGCACATGCAGTGATGCAGAATTCAGGAAGATCACAGGCTGGTGGGTGGAAATTCTTGTGGATCCAGTGTCAGTGGAAGCATCTCAGCACTGGCATGGGCCTCCACATGGCTCCTCCAGCTCCAGAGCTGTGGCTTCATCGGGTCATCAGCAGAAAGAAGAAGCAGAGAGAGAGAGAGTGTGTGTGTCCTGTCTCCAGTGAGGAAGACAGGAGTTCCCAGAACCCTCTGGAGAAGGCCATGCCCACACAGAGGCCTCATTGGCTATGATCTGATTGACAGGCTAGACTCCACCCCTTCACTCAAGTTGACAGGAGTTTATGTAACTGCCACATAGGGTTTGGGCAACGAATATGCAATATATTCAATGGATACCACAAGATGGAAGAAATTTGTGGTGGGAGAAAGAATGGCCAGAATGCTCCTTAGAAGTGAAGATGGCAAGATTTCGTCTCATGTACACTGGACGTGTTGCCAGGAGAGACCCGTCTCTGGCAAAGGACGGAACCTTGGTGAAGCAGACGGCCCTCAGTGGGATGCACTGGTATGGTGGCTGCTGCTGTGGGCTGAAGCACAGCACCAGATGTGGGGACGGGGCAGTGTTTCGTTCCATCACTGAGTTATCGCCTAACAACCTGGGTAAATTACCCAGTGGAAGTGTGTACTCTTGATGATTTATTAACTCTGCTATTTATTCTGCCGTTTCAGAGATTTCTCAACTGTGAATTCCCTCTCATTCTGTTTGCAAACTTTTTTTTCTTTCCCTGTATTTTTCCAGAAAGAAGAAAACTGAGGGCACCTATGACTTGCCTTACTGGGACCGAGCAGGTAATGCGTGCGTTCTTTTCATGGCTTTGGTTCCGAGATGCATGCCCCCATCCCCTTCAGGGGCTGTCGAGCAGCAGGAGGTCATCTTTGAGCCCCTTAGAACGTCCCTCACGGTCAGACACACGGCATTCCTCCTGTTTTCTCAGCCATTGGTACCGCCTGCAAAAGCTCTACTGGTTAATAAGTGACGAAGTGGAAAGCAGCTCTTGCTCAGTGCGTGTGTTCTTTTTCTGCTGGAAAGCTTGTGTCTCAGAAGGAGACCTGGGTTCGCTCGAAATGAAAACCACACAGTAAACACTTGGCTTTGCGCCCGGCGGCCCAGCCTTTGCCACTTTGCTGCAGCCGTTCATCAGGTAGAAGGTGGGAGTGGAGAGCCATGTGAGGTCCAACGTCGCTGCTGAGAAGGACTGTCATCTCCTGACTTGCTGCTCTCTAAAGCAGGTGGCAGCTGCCCCTGCCCAGCTTCTCCTGGAACCCCCACTGGGATCA